AACCATTAGCCTAAGTTTGATTTTCTCCCTCTGCTAAAGTCAAAAATGCAATGACAAATATATTCATATTTGGGTTCTTCAGTGTCCCCTACTCATCAAAACAGAAGTTAAGGTTTCATAACAAATCGTCGACTGAATGAAAGTATTCTGTAATGTATGAATAAAAGACAAACATAATCTTTAGAAAAATCTGGATTTCGAACCTATGTAAATACCAACAACTATAATAAGCTAGTCTAATACATATTGAGGGACTTTAAAGGAATTAAGACATTGGTATTTGACATACATATTATTTGTGACAGTCAATAGTTATTGTGAAACATAAACTGCAAAGAAAATGATGCACATATATTTATTTCGGCTTTGATAAAAGCAACTACGAATGTAGTCTATTCTTAAAATAAATATAATTAAATCGATACCCCTAGTTCTATTCTCATTTCTGATCACCACGTCATAAAAACTTAAAACTTCGTCCCATCGTACTCGGTACTTCACGACATCGTTTTTGTACTGTACTAGTTCAATGGCTATAGTAATGAGAATTACTAAAATAGCACAAAAACATATTCTACAACAGAAGTTTTTCAGTTCAATATTCATAGAGATAATTCTTAACATTTTAGGTGCAGTTTTCAAACCTAGTTGTCTGAACACACTTCACTCAATTATTGAACTTGAGCTTACTAGAGGTTCTGCACTCCTATGTAAAAATAAACGAAAAAAATCAGCTTTAGAGAAGTCAAAATCGATTAAAAATCGTAATCTGCGGAACAGAATTCAGATCATCTCGATATCCCATATTTTTGATGGGTCTGGTTTATAGTTTAAATAATATTAACAGTTGATTCTAATAATTCTTCGATCATGAACCTATAGTTTCATTCGTTGAGACAAGAAACATCATACACATAAAAATATATAATCATAGATGGGTTATGTCTAAATTCGGATTCGATACGATGAGAGAGAAGGAGAAGTTCTATCGTATTTTAAAAGTAAACGTATAAAATTAATGATTTCCTATCGAATTCCTGGTATTTGAAGTGAAATTCGATCCTTAGGGTCAGGACCCGATAATATGATATCATAGAACCCAACAAAGCCAAAAAGCAAGTCTAAGACGATCTCTGATTATGGATATATCGAGACTACAAATGAAATTTTATAATTCTTTCATAGAACCATTACTTATTTGTAAGAACTAAGAACTTGTGAAATTCATAAAGTAGCTGACGTTACAGAGAAAACATTTTCTATAGAATGAGACGTCGATAAAGTTTGTGCGACTCATGATTCAACTTGTATCTCAGCTTTACTTTAGGCTCCGACAGAACGGAGACCGAGCCCGAGGCTCGGTCTTAATTTCATGACCTTTTGTAAAACTGTAGTAAAAATTGAAACGGACATCGTATAATTCTCGTCAAGGGTGCATTTTGCGAAAAAAATAGTTGCTGCACAAGGATATATCTGGAACAGAATTTTACCATATTACGCACAACAAGCGCATCCTTGAGAAAAAATATGAACGAAATCAAAAAAGACATCTAAATGCTAAGCTATGTATGGAAGCTAGAAACTCTCACGAAGCTAATTTTCTTATATAAATGAGTGGAATGATTAGTTCACAAAAGTACTACATTGAAGTGAGCAACGTAATGGATATTTTTTCCTTTGCTTTCGGTGAAAGAAAGCAGGAATCTCATATAACCTTACAAAAATTTTGATATAGTGTAAATATAGATAGAGATAAGCATAACTCCTACCAGTAGTGCAACCGACGAATATTTGTAAAATTAACAAAGAGGCAGTGTTTCTTGCTGTTGTGATAGGCAGGCACATTGTATCTTCAAGCCCAATTGTGCATGAAAAATATTAATTATTGTCCATTTCAAAATAGAATGTGCTCCACTATTATTTAAATAATTCGAGAACACAAGTAGCTAGAGACCTGCGATTTTCACCAATCGAAAGAAGAGACCAGGGTACGTCTTTTTCTCTGATAATGTATAAGATGAAATCGTTTTAAAACTAGTTATTTTCGAAAATGATATAAAAGAAGACATGAATATGACCTGACATCTCGATAAAATTTTTATTGGACCTTTGATTTAGATAGAGAAACTTGAAGTCTATCGTTCAAGATATAATGCAGATTGATTCACTTATTACAGTCTAACGTTAAGCAAACTGGATCATGTATTTGCATAAGCAAATAATAGGGATTTTTTTCTAATTTTTTAACACAGTACCTCGACATTTCGATAGAAATGTAATGAAAAGGAAGAAAGCGTTTTATATCTTGAACTATAGATTTGCATTCACTCTATGTAAATAAAAAGTCAAAATAAAAATTTTACCGAGATGCCAGGTCATCTTGATGTCTTCTTTTATGTCCTTTTCGAAAATAACTAGTTTTAAAAGGATTTCATCTTATACATTATCAGAGAAAAAGACGTACCCCGGTCTCCTCTTTCGATTATTGAAAATCGCAGGTCTCTAGCTACTTGTGTTCTCGACTTATTCAAATAATAGTGGAACACATTCTATTTTGAAATGGACTATAGATAAGAAAATTCAAGCATGTATGTGAGTTCTACATTTCAGTCGCAAATAAGCTACGCTAACAAACTTTTTCTCAGATCAACAATAAGTTTGACTTGTTATCACATAAAACTAAACGGATCATAGGATAAATACATCCGCAATGTTCTCTAACATGTCATTTAATGTATGACAGTTAGCTAAAGTAACATATTGAGAAGAGTTAGTGTATGAAGTCACACTTTGCTGTTATCTCTCGACAGAAAATTAGCATTTTTAAAGTTTCCTGTTTCTTTTCAACAACAAAAAGCAAAATCGTGACTTAAAATGTTTGAAAAGCTATTTAAACTTTGCACATTCTTTATCTCTGCGTCAAAAAGTTTTGTGAAAAGACATATGGTTACTGTTTAACGCCTATTATTCATCTTCCCTCTGAATTTGTTCTCTTTGCTTTTTATTTATCAATCCAAAAATACTCTTGTATTGTCTTTATTTTGTTCATGTTATCTGATACGCTTCTCGGAATCTTTTCAGGCTCCATTGTTCAGTGAAAAATATCAAACACTTAAATCTAATAAAACCTAGAAAAACCGTAGGATAGATTGAAATTGAAGAGTTGATTTGAAACCGATTAAAAACACTATTAACGATCAACAGGAATCACCGATGAGTATACTGTAACGGGTTTACACACTATTTTAGTGTTAATTACAGTCCTTTGAAAATTGGGTTTTGTTTCAAAATGATCCTATAAATAGTTTTTATTAGAATCTTTTACGATTTCATTGGTTTCATAGATAAATTGATCTTACATTTGAAGAGAAATCACTGTATGTTTAGTTTAGTCTGAATCTCTCATGAACATTATGATTCTTCAGATTGTTGCCCTTAAACGAGGGTGTGGGTTTCGGGTGCGTGTTGTGGGTGTGGGTATGGGTATAAGTGTGGCTGGTGTGGGTGTGAGTGGTGTGTGGATGGGTGTGTGGATCTGGTTGTGCATTTTTTTCAAACGAATACTCACACCCACAACCACACACCCTCAAGATCAACTAACTATTTCTTAAGAATTATGCTTTTATAATAGAAACACTTTTAGCGATAAGTTCATAATGGAAATAAAACATTTTAAAAAAAGATGAGTTAAGGCTTATGCAGTATGATTAAGTAACACATGGTCTAAATTATTCCAGATGCAGATGTTTCAAAGTTGGAATTTTATGACGCCCTACCTTCTTTTTGTACGAAATTCATCTTTCAGGTGAGATATTTTTGACCGAG